AACTGAGCTACAGAGTCCAGCTGTTGAGCTCTAACCAACTGAGCTACAGAGTCCAGCTGTTGAGCTCTAACCAACTGAGCTACAGAGACCAGTTGTCGAGCTCTAACCACCTGAGCTTCAGACTGAGAGTCCTGTTGTCGAGCTCTAACCAACTGAGTTACAGAGGTCAGTGTCGAGCTCCAACCAACTGAGCTACAGAGACCAGTTGTCGAGCTCTAACCAACTGAGCTACAGAGACCAGTTGTCGAGCTCTAACCAACTGAGCTACAGAGAGACAGTTGTCGAGCTCTAACCAACTGAGCTACAGAGAGACAGTTGTCAAGCTCTAACCAACTGAGCTACAGAGAGACAGCTGTCGAGCTCTAACCAACTGAGCTACAGAGAGACAGTTGTCAAGCTCTAACCAACTGAGCTACAGAGTCCAGTTGTCAAGCTCTAACCAACTGAGCTACAGAGTCCAGTTGTCAAGCTCTAACCAACTAAGTTGAGCTACAGAGTCCAGTTGTCGAGCTCTAACCGACAGAGTTACAGAGTCCAGTTGTCAAGCCCTAACCGGAAATTCATGTTCCACTTAGTTGGTGCCAATGTAAGGTGTATGGGTAAATAGGGCTACAGGTTCGATTCCTGTCAGAGGGTCTGGCTATATGTAGTTATCGGTTTAGTATTAGTGAATTGAAGCTTTATTAACTGTGATTGAAGCGACGTTTTTGTCAACACGAATGTCACATGAAAATTGGTAAAACTAATTTTGGCGCCATTTTGTATCATAGCGTTCGTGTGAGAAAGCAGGAAAGTTTAAAAATCTTTTGTCATACAGTATGTGTTGAAGATTACCACAAACTCACACAAACACAGTTTTTAATCCAGTCCTCTCTCGACAATCTGACGTCCATGTTGACAAAAACATCGCTTGCTTAAGCTCGCTATTAATTAAAGCAAAATAGGTTAAAAATTGTAAAAAAATCAAGCTCTTTATAACGTACTCGGGTTTGGATACTTCGACATTTTTCTCCAAGTCTAAGAATGTCTTGAATTGGGCGTATAGTTAGTTGCTATGGCATGTAATTTTACATATATATTCACTCTTATTATACTATATAGCTAATTCACATTATTAATTAAAGATAGCTTACATGCATGAGTAAGCAAATAGTTTTAAAGATGAAATAGTCCCACAACTAACGTAGCGGACATGACTCGGCGAGGCGTTGGACGATTTGTGGTTTGCTGAAACTTGCTAGTTAACGAACTATATTGCGTATAGGGGAAACGAGTCGTAGTTTGTAGTTTCTTTCCCTAGCAGAGCGTATAAAAGCCTGAGCACAACTAGACAATTCATGCATTATTCATAAGGTGAAAGCCTGAATAGCAACACAGTAAGAAAGCAAATAATAAGGAAATTAAAAGTTAAAGAAAGAATTAAAAGTAAAGTCCAAAGACAAAGACGAAGTTATTAAAGAATTGTAATGAATTGGAGAGAAAGAAACGAGAAACGTCACACACTGTTTTCGACTCTGCCGATTTGCCTTGCAGACTTTAAATTAGGTGTTTTGTATGAAAGTTTTATACAAAACACCAAAAGTACACTATTATTTCACCGGATGTGTTGCCTGACAAAAGCCGGGTACTTCTTCCAAGCCCTGTCCACAACATAACGGAGATCCCTTATCTCCGAATTGCCGGCATACTTAAAATAGACTTAAAATATATATACACTTACGAAAATGTTGGAGTTTGAATACTTTTTCGATGATTCCAAAATATCCATGTGACGTTTCTCTTGGACAAAATCGACATGTAACGCTTCCCTAAGTAAGAAAATAAATATATCATTGAAAGTAATTGGTTTCACGATCTTTGTTGCGAGTAAATAGGACTGGCTCGTAACGCATGTGACCATATGACCAAAAATAAAAAGCAGCACAAATGATACTCGTTGTTTGGACTAATCAAAATTGCTTTTAAGAGATATATTCTGTTCCAAGGTTTATCAATTAATTCCGAAAGTTGTCACTTGATCTTCGTTGGAGCAATTTGTGAGTGAATATTAGAATGTCTGCCATACTAGGGCCTTTTTTAGAAACTAGTTTTGTGTTTTTGAATTTTCCATCCCTATGACTGCATTTCGGTGCGTTATCAGAATTCAGAACGTTTTGGGGGGATAAACAGCGTTACACTCTGTCTGTATATATATTACAGACAGACTGAATCTTCAGTTAAGTTTTTGAACAGTATGTTTATATAAATACCACAACTCAGTCAGTAACTTGTTTAGCCTAGCCTTCCAACAACTCAAATCTATATAGGGTCTGGGATATGCTATCCACTGGGAAATTTTCAAAATCTATTAAGGTACCTGTACGTATTTACAACACAATGATTATTAGTGATATTTTTTGTGTGTGTTTTGATGTTATGTACTCATGCAGGTGAATATAATGTTTTTGATGTTACTCTGATGGTATATCCACACCGGGCAGGCTGAAAAGTTAGCCCAGTAAGCCTCACCACGGTGGGAAACGAACGCGCGACCTTTGGGATACTACCAACTGAGCTACGAGGCCAAGTCTGTTCGAGTATGTGGTATTTCCAAAATAAGTCCAGTACCTTCGATACCAATGTGTTCTATGATCATGATCCAACTTTTCAGCCTGCCCGATGTGGATATACACTCAGAGTAACATCAAAAACACAATGATAATTAGCATTCTTAAAAAGACATTGAATCATTTGAAGACGAAAGACATGACATAAGATTCACAAAGCAAGGTTCCGTTACTAGAAGTATCAAATTTACCTCCCTTCTAAATTTCATTTTACAATGTCTTGCTTATATTTTAGAGAAAAGGGACTTTGACTGGGGAAGGGGGGGGGGACCAAAATTGCGGAAAAGCCACAGTGAAATACATGAAAACCCTAATGACACGTAATGAATAACCAATGTGGAGCATGAAGCTCCGGGGAATCTGGGTATAATTAGATGAAATGGTCCGTGGCCAGTTGTTGTGAGGATTTACACACCAATTTTCTACACATCCAAGACACATTGATACATGATTCTTTCCACAGATCTGCTGTGAAGTCACAAAAGATTTTCCCCGCAAAGTTTTGAAATGAAGAGTAGAAATGTATAAACTAAACGGACTAAACGGCAGGTTAACGCTACTCGGCTCTCAACAATCGTCCCCTGTCATAATTTACAATAGGACGCTAATCAAAGTTTGAAATAAGTTTATGGCCTGTTTCAAATGTTGCGCCACTCATGATGAAATGCCTCATTATCTGTTGTTTTTAATGCGTTCGGCACATGAGTAGCGCGACGATTGAAACAGGCCTAACACATCAGAAACATCGTGCCTCGTGGAATTGATACAATTTATTTATTTATGGTGATGCTACACGCGGCAACTCGAAATTTAAAATGTTTCACTATCAAACCAAATTTTGCATATGCTAAAACTTCATTTTAACCCCATACCGTTCCGTTTCGCATCAGAGGGCTGTGCCTCTGTTGACATTGAAAGTAAATTCCTTTGAATATCTGTGCTAAAGTAGCAGTGGAATAGCAGTGGAAATACTCTGGTTTCTGAAGGATACACGACGCCATACCGGTGAGTAAATTTTAACTTTTAACACTTTAAACAATAAACTTTAAACACGTGACCATCTACGGACCGTATTTTAGAACAATTAAACTATTCTCATAACAAAAGGGGAACTCGAAGATATAAACATTGCCCAAATTTTGCATCTTTCGAACTTTTTTGGGCCAAATAGCAGAATACCCGTTCACTAGTCATCTTTCACTGCGTAGCCATATTCTCATTACAATATCAAGGTAATACTGACGTCATTATATCACTTTCTCGTACTTTTAAAACTCACTGGCACTGCGCAGCCGCGTTGCCACGTAGCCACTAAAAAATATATCTACTTTACGTCTTTGGTAATTACGTAATTATATCAATGTCTCGTTCTTTCAAAAACTCACTGCGTAGCCACGTAGCCAGTACTAGCCACTAAAAAATATATCTACTTTAGTAATTACGTAATTATATTAATGTTTCGTTTTTTTAAAAACTCACTGCGTAGCCGTGTAGCCACGTAGCCACTAAAAATATGCCTTCCTTATGCCTACAATTACATCATTATATCAATGTCTCGTTCTTTTAAAAACTCACTGCATATAACCAGTGAAAAATATAGCTACAGTACCTTATAATTTACGCAACTTGTTCTAAACTCACTACGTAGCCACGTAGCCACCAATATTTCTAGTGAGTCTTCAAAAGTGGACGGGTATTCATAGCATCTTTAAGCTTTTTAACAGCATCTTTAACTGTAAAATAATCTTCAAATCTCGCTTACTTCTGTCTATAAATATAAACCTTCGAATCTGCTTGGCACACAAAACAGTTTTGCAAAAGAAAAGAATGTGATTCATTTTTGAGAGGTTTATCAATAGTTAAAGAGCTTTCCTATGGCTATGTTTATAAATATAATGGACTGAGTATACCAGAGACAGCCGAATTTTGGGGTAGAGTTGTTTCAGTATCAGACCTCTTTGAGTGTAAGTCTGAATTATGCCAAGTTTTCAAGGCAAATTTTGCAGAGTCAATAGGGAGCTTAGGGGTCGGTCATTATTTACGGTGGGGGGTGGCACCGAAGAGAAATATTTTTCGTGGCAAAGATTTTGCTGACCCAACCATTAAAAAGTAAAAAAAAATGATTACTCGACCTCAAATATCAATTAAAAAATAACTACCCCCCCCTGGCCATAAACGTTACAAAAGGA